CCGGAGACGGGAAGAGAGAGAGAGAGAAGGGAAGAGAGAAAGAGAGAAGGGAAGAGAGAGAAAAGAGGGCCGCTGGCGATGGGCAACGGCGGTGGCGAGGGGAAGAAGAGGCAGAGAGAGAGAGACTTAGCAGGAGAGAGATAGAAAGTGGCGGGAGAAAATGAATAGGAAGAAGATAGGGTATATTAGATCAGACTTATTTGCGACGACATTGTCGTCGCAAATAAGTTTGAAAATGTCGTCGCAAATAATCATTTTTCCCGCGTTTAGTATTTTGGTGAAATCTTGAAAAGATTATTTGCGACGACAAAGAGAAAAAGTAATCGCAAATAATATGAAATTATTTGCGACGACTTTGTCGTCGCAAATAAATGGAAGATATCGTCACAAATAAATCATTTTTCCCGCGTTTAGTATTTTGGTGAAATCTTGAAAAGATTATTTGCGACGACAAAGAGAAAAAGTAATCGCAAATAATATGAAATTATTTGCGACGACTTTGTCGTCGCAAATAAATGGAAGATATCGTCACAAATAAATCATTTTTCCCGCGTTTAGTATTTTGGTGAAATCTTGAAAAGATTATTTGCGACGACAAAGAGAAAAAGTAATCGCAAATAATATGAAATTATTTGCGACGACTTTGTCATCGCAAAAAATGGATTACCTTGGCGGCAAAATTCCACGCCATTAAAATTTGCGCCCCAAAATTATTTGCGACGACATTTAAGTTATTAGCGACGACATGGTTATTTTTTTAAACGGGGCGTAATTGCGACGAACTGTCGTCGTAAATATTTTATTATTTGCGACGACAAATGTCGTCACAAAAAATGTCGTCGCAAATGGCCTTTTTTGTTGTAGTAAGAATTCATGATTACAGAAACAAACATAAAGCTCCCCCCATCAATATCCTATAGGCAGGGGCAAGTAAAATATGACAAAAATATGTGCAACCACAGTCAGATCCCCACCTTAGTCCTATTTATAGTTTCAACATCCTTTCACTTCTAAACTCTCGCACTCTCTGTATTCAAGCAACCATCAAACCATAGAGGAAAAAAATCAGGTAGTCAAACCTTTCCTTTTTTGTGTCAACGACAATAAAGGTGATCGTCGTCTTCAAACTCCGAAACCCCTAACATGGCCAAAGCTAAGTGGCTCTTCATTTCGTTGTTTGTTTATGTTGATTGAGAGTAACAGTCAATAACACATCCACTTCCCAGAAAACTAGACTTCTTCTTTCTACTTGAGAAAACATGTTGCTCTTCACCTTTCAGGGTTGCAATAATCTCGCCAATTGCTGGCCTGCGAGCTTCTTCACTAGTTACACAAGTTTTCTTGTCTCACATATGCAAACCTGCCATTACATAACACAAAAATCATCAACCAGAAAATCTCAAACCCAATTTTAACCGAAATTTAATTTCCAAACAAAGCTTACTTATAAGCTTTGATCGAACTAGGCTTTCCATTGACCTCTAACAACCCTGACAAATGCAATCGCGGTGAAGCCGTTAGTTGACCTGCCAGTACATTTAGCAGCATCGTCTTCCCCGACCCCGACGGCCCCATAATCGCCAGCAGTCTCCCCGGCTTCGCCTCTCCTCCCACTTTTTGAGAAAAAATCACACCTCGGGATTAACAAACACGACAAAATCAACATCCAAAACCCTACATTTTCTTTTTCAAGGTAGCCAAACAGGTGAGGGAAAACAGAAAGAAAAATAGAAATTGAAATTAGAGAGTTACTGATACCGGCAAACCGAACCCTCAACAATGCTCAACCGTTTTTGTGCAAAAATCAGAAACCTAAAACCCAAAATATTCAAACTAAAAATCAGACCCAAAAATCCAAATGTTCAAACTAAAAATCGTGCGGTTAGAGAGGCTTACCTCTTGATCTGATGACGAGAGATGGGCAGTCGGAAGAGGAGAAGGGAGACCAGCAACAGAGAGATCAATTGGGCAGAGGAGAAACCAAACGAGCTCCGAACCGCCAACGGAGAGATCAACCGGCGAACGGAGAGAGAGGCCAGTGAACGGAGCCGGGGAACCTTGCTTCGAAGGGCGAGGTGTGACGACCCTAACTTTTGGTCATCATCCTATGCTCATACTTACCATTTGTAAACCTCTATGACGACCCTAATTATAACTTCTTAAAATTTCAGGCCATTTTTTTTTTTCATTCTTACCATGTACGTTAAAATGCTGTAGCATTCTGACAACATTCTGTTATATTAGTCATCAAAATACATAAAACACTATTTTATTTTACATATAAAGTTCAGCAGCGTTTCCAAAACACATGATGCGTCCACAACCCACTTGCCTACATTCCGCTGCTACACCCTCTCTGCATGCCCAGCTTCAAGTTTTAGAGAGCCGGTGCCTTACCCGTGCTTCCTATAACACGAACAAACTTAATGAGCTTTTGCTCAGCAAGTATCAATAGGTCATAACAGATGCAATAATTATGCATACCCATATATGCATTCATGTCATATATCATAATACATTCTGTACTACTAAAACATGTATGGCTTATGTTCTTCTTCTTTCATTACATTCTTTGTTCTGCTTTCGTCTCATTTTAGTCGTTCACATCGTATTTTCACGTTCTGAACGACTTTCATTTCGTGTTTCTCATTTTTTTCATTCTTCTTTACAGATACCGTACCTTTATATGGAATGGTTTCTGTTTTTCATTTTCTTGTCTTTTACTTCTTATGGGCCCTGTCCTGTTGTACCATAGCGCGCATAACCAGTGAGGAGTGGGGTAGCTAACCAATCCAACTCAGTCACGGTTTCATATCTTTCATAGTCTCATAATAACCTTTCCTTCGAAGGCTGGTACAAATAGGACGTTTAGTCTCTTACCGTTTATCAATTTTCTCATTAAAACGGTAACTTTAGTTAAATCTTATGAATTTGTGCATTATTGAGCATTTTATCATGAGATTAACTTTTCGTTAAAGTTTAACATTTCATTTCTCTTAGTTTGATCTCGACTTAACATCGATACATACTTTTTGCAGAATAAAGTTCTACGATTACATAAGTCTTGTAGATACATACCTAACATAGTATCTAACATTCACATTGTATCTAACACTAAAAAATTCTACTATATGCACAATCTTTGTGCAACATCGAAAAGTAAGCTTGTTCGTGATATAGTCATAGAAAAACTATTGTACTTACCAAAGTTTCGCTAACAACGCGTCCTTTGTCTCCCTTGACGCTTTCCAACTTCAACCGTTAATCGGCCATATTGCATAAATTTTTCGATCGTTAGATTTAGAATCTAAGATCAATAATTACATTAAAATTTACTTCGGAAAAGTCTACAATCCTTATGTTTGGTAGTCAACCTCAAACCATTTCCTATCTCAAGGATTTGCACTATAATCGTGCAAATTACTCAGTCATGGGCCTAATTTTCAATTTTGGTCCAAAACTGCGAATTCTCATTGTGTTCGGTTTCTAACCATCACCGATTATCAAAACATCTTTCTTTTCACACTTTAATCTCATATTCCTCGTGAAATCCAGTTTTAGTTCAAATTACTCGAACTAAATTTTGGCAGAGTTTCGCCTTATTTTTCTCGTTTCCCGAGTTTTTTAATAACTCGTTCTACTTCTGATTTCGGTACCTGGAATCAAGATTTACATTCCTGAACACAGATTCCAACATAAAATTGAACAAAACATATGTTCTTTCTTAATCTAGGCTCACAGATTTTCGATAGAAATCCACCAAAACTTTATTCAATCGTCTTAACACTTACACCGTTAGACTCTTATTACGATACTCTACAAAACCTCAGTTTCAATTTTCACTTTAACGGAAGTTTTTCTGAGATGGGTTACTATTCATGTAAATTAAGAAAATATAGAATTCTCACGAAAACTCTGAAATCTTACCTCCAGAAGTTGAGGTTTTTCCGCTAGAACGTCTCAGGTTACGTTTCTACCGGACTGAACGGAAGAAATCTCAA